GGGGGGGAGGGAAAGGAAGAGGGATTCATAAATTGTTAGTCACTAACCTGCTTGTTGATCCTGATGATTGTGAGAAGGCAGGAGAAAGGGATCGCTGGTCTTCAGCCAAATTATGAAACTCGATTCTCTCACAATGAGAAGTTTCTGTTTTGGGTAGCTGGTCCACTGCACAAATCAAAGCTGTACATTCTTTTTTAAAATTTTCTTCCCCTGGCAGAAATATTACAAGATAAACACTTAATAGAGAGTTAAATTTAACTTTTTACGGTTTTTCTGTTTCAGTAACTTGCAGCCAGCACATTTTTTTTAAAATCATGTTTCAAATACCAATTTCCTGTCTTTACCTGCCTGTGCCAAGACCTCTACCACTAGTGCAACAAATGGCCCAATTTCTTTTCTCACGATGGGACCACCATGAACCAGAAACCACAAAGAAAAAACTGCCTCTATTATCTGTCTTAAACAGAGTGCTGGAGAAAATGTAATGAGACTAAATGTGTGCTAGCCTCCGTTCATAAAAAATCTATATAATTTTTTTTTTTAAATAGTGAATAGGCAAAATGTGGCAGCTCTGCTCCATAGTTCCTGATACAAATTCACCTTATAATCAAAATACATGACAATTTTACCGCTTGGAAGCTTTACAGCTCAAGCAATAGCATGGTTTTCAGTAAAACAAATGTGATGGTTTATTTGCTAATGCTGCTGAAAAGATAAAAATGTCAGTCTACCAAGGGATTGCTTTTCTTTTTTTAAAGAAAGGTACAACGTATCTAGAGAATGTGTGTGTCAAAAACCCAAATCAAATTATGTTTGATCAATATTTTGCCTGCTGATGAACTCTTACCCTAGAAAATGGGTAGGCAACCTTTTCCAAAGGTGGGCTGGAATGACCCACTTCAATTCAGAGGTGAGCTGTCAGGTGCTAGGAAGCGCTCTCATATATCACACCCCCCACACAAGTCAGAAGATATGCATACACTGCATAGCAAGCAGCAACAAAACAAGTAAAACTGAACAAACCAACTGTGAGACAGCTAACAGCACCCATGGGCATTTCTCCGTTTTTATGGATAGTACAGACAACATCCATGCACTGGATGTTGTTGCTACTTCATAAAACATGCTTGCTGAACAAGTTATAAACTGCAGTCGTGGTATTTTCTCCTCTTTTTATGGAGAAAACAAAACACAAAAAGAAATTAATCCAAAGGGCAGAATATAGCATGGCCACACACTGTAGAAAAAGTTGCATCAGAAGCAGCAACATTTACTCCTTGATTCTATACTGCTCACCTCCCAATTAATACAAATATCTAATTCCTGGTCACCATCCACCTGTCAAATTCAAAATATATGCAAGCCAGGAACATCAGGTATATCAGCAATCATTGGCATATTTTAATAAGGTATAGACTATGACAAACTGTCAATGATTTCAAAAGACCTTCCACTCTGTCCCCTTCCCCCCCTTACTGTAAGGCACAGCTCAGCTCAGGCTGGATTCCCTTCTGGGCACAGAGCACATGGAAACAACTCCATCCCCTGCCCAGCCAGTCATATGGTACTTCTTATGAATCAAGAGATGAGACTTCAAGCCACACTCCAGACTTGTGGCAAAGGCCCTCCCCAGTAGACCCAGAGGTGCATGTGTACCACATCTTTCAAGCTGAGGAATCACTGGCTACAGAAGCTGGCGTACCTTAACCACATTGGTCTAAATGAACACCTAGACTCAGGACAGTCCTTGGAGTCTTATGCTTCATGTTAAGTATGTGTTTGTAGACTTAAGTCATGGCCTACATGAACACTGGGCAGTTAACCCCATTTATACATTTTGGTCACTTAGAGAGATGACCTAATAGATTTAATATAAATGAAATTTTTATTTTCATTTATATTAAATAATATTGCTCACCTGTACCTGCTGGCTCTTCATCAGCAGTTATGTTCTCTGTATCCTGTGTGGTCTCTATTTCCCTTTTACAAGCTTTCTTCCATCGGTTACTGACTTGATCCACTAAAAGCTGAAATTCATTTTTGTGTTTGTTTCCTAAAACACAATATTAAGCTCTTTCAGGAAAAAGAAATTGCTCACAAAAGCATCATCACCATGAAAAGGAAAGAGAAGAGTGAGGGCCCCTTGAGTAGAACAAATAAAATATGCCGGATAGAAAAATCACTTGTGATGCACTACCCTAATGTTCAGCATTCTGTTTAAAGGCCCGTTTCCAATAGGCAGTATGCTCAACCCTTACTGAGACACAGAAGTGTTGATGGCACATGTCATTCAAATATTAGAGACTTTATCCTTTGTGCCATGTCATATATGCATCTTTTCAAATATGCACACAATGCATTCTCTGGGTGGAATCCTGAACTCACTGAAATCAATTGGCATTTTGCATTCAATTACAGTAAGCTCAGAATTTCAGTACACCTCTAAATAATGTATTCTTTGGATTAGGTTGATATGCTCTTCAGGAATCATATCTTACTGTATTCAAAATAAGACCCACCCTTTAGTCTTATTACTTTAAGTAGCTACTTCAACTTCAGCAACTAGCTCTAAATTGCGTTGCGTGGAACACTGCTGGTTTACTGAGAGTTGGCCGATTACTTGACACCATCTGTTAAGTTTGAATGGTGTAAAAATCAGTGTATTCTGCACTGAAAACACAGCAGGATAAAATAACAGCAGCAAAAGCTGTTCTTATATGTTGTTCCACTTTGGTTCCCGGAAGTGAATGGAGACCACTTAAAAGAAGTAAAAGTGGCCATCTGATCTCCATTCTTTTTTATTTGCTTATTAGTGCTATTTATAGCAATGATTTTGGTATTTAGATGCATTTTTCACAGTGAAAAGGACTAAAATCTTCAGCACCTTCAGCATAGATCTCTGAATAGGCCAGAGGTAGTAGTTTTACCTATTTGCCATCTGGACAAGTGACATAGAGGTGATTACAGAATATTTTTTTATAGAAAAAAAAGAAAGAAGAAAAAAAAAATCTTAAAAAGGCAGGCTCAGGCTTTTTAAGATAGTGTTTTTTCTTTATTCTTAGAAGAAACATTACACACAACATGGTACATCCTGTAGGAAAGTAGTAAAAGAACATTTAAAAGAAAAAACATATCAGTGGCATTTTCCTTTGCTAAAATTTCCTCCTCTAGCTCCCTCCTCCTCCCCCCCACCTTTTTTAGAAGAAAAATGTGCCATGGAACAAAACCAGCTGTGAATTCAGAAGTGAGGTCAACTGTGCAAGTGCACTAGAATTAAAGAACATTTGTTTCCTGCCCCAATATCTCTATATCGGCCAATTTTTCATAAATCTGCTAAATAATTTATCATGCTAATAGTTATCATTGCCATAATATTAGATAATACTGTTGAGGATTTTTTTCACCTAGGATTTTCTAAGATACTGCTCATTCATCAGACAGACATCATATCAAAGCAAGCGTAAAGATGATCAACTATGAAATGGAATACCAAATTTTTCACTTCCACGTAACTTGTAATTAAATAACTCAATCAGCTTGTGCAAAACTGGGTTGCTGTACAGTACATGGGCCCAGGCGTGTGCCTCTGAAAATACAAGTAACCATTTCAATACACTAAAATAGTATCAAAGCCAGACTGAAAACCTGGCTTTCATGTCATACACATGGAAATTCTGGTCTAGGTTGGATGTTCTCAACCTTTTTGCCCTCCCACCCCCAAAATTGGCCTAAATAAACATAGTAGTACATGTATATAGAAGCTATTTTTGGAAACGGTTTCTCATTTTAGTTTCTATGTTCCCTGAAAATGGAAAGATTTGGTAAGTGCAGTTCACACTTCGCATAGTTTTCATTGCTTTCAGACTTTAATTATCAAAAAAATCTGTAGATTGCATACTGTCTTCTGGGAGTAAAGAAAACAATTGTTTATCCTAAAAAAGTTAACCCTAGCAGAGTTTTCTGTATATGTAACTAAAGTAATATATGCAAGCAAGGCTATGAAAGATCAGTTCACTTTGGTAATATTGAGTTGACTCTACTGGAATTTAAGGGCAGGTTTAAGCTACAATTTTTTTCAGCTAAAAAGTTTCTTTGAGGGGCTGGGTTGAAAAGCAGATGTATTCTTCTTGGGTAAAAATTAAGTAAGCCTTGATCCCAGTGTATTTCTGAAATTTTCATAAGATGGAAGATCTGCTTTTAATGACATGAAAAAATAAGTAACTCTCATTCTACATTCTCAAGTACTCCGCAGGAATAAGTCCAAACAGCTCATCCTCAGAGATTTTAGAAGGTAAATAGAATGCGAACAGATGTATGAATTACATTACTTGATCACTACCCCAAATCCAAGAAACTGAAATATTTTCCAGTGCTTCATTTGACAAACATGGTTCTAAGAAACAATATGAAAGAATGCTTTGCCTTCTGTCACTACCTCTTGAAACAGAGAAGTCCTGGTACTAGTGGTAAACAATTCATAAGAGAGCAACAACCCAAAATAGTAATATTGACTGGTACCGCATATCAATAAATGAATTCTACTACAACTGAAAAAAGATGCCTGGAAACATTTTTCTTTGTATATCCAGAGAAATATAACGGTTGAACAGAACTGTGTTTATGTCACCCCTTTGCAAAATCTATTCACATGCAGCTCTGGCTGCGTGTGTGATGAAAAGGACTGAGGAAGCAGATTTAATCCGAATCTGCAGAACACACAAACAAACCTCTTCTAAGGGCCAGGTCCTCCACTGGTGCCAATCAACTCAGTGACATGACTTACCCCTGAACCTATCTACCCTGAAAAATGTACTGAATTGCAAAGTAACGTGGACTCATCCCCACAGCCTAGACTATGTTACTAGACTAGATGTTCATACATCACTTACATAATCAGTTCACTAGCACAAATACTAAGAAAAACAAATTTCTGGCACAACAGACAAGGTCTGGTGAATCCTGCAACTGTAAAATGAACTTTTGGCTCAAAAGATATAGAATCCCTGTTCCAAGACTTGATTTTCCACCCCTGCCCTAGAAATTCAGACACAGGTGTCTAACACCTACTATTTATATAGCACACTGTATGGAAAAAAATGCAATCATCCTCCTCCCCTCACCCTACTAAGATATTGGAGCATGCGAGTGTAGACAATAACATCACCGATAAGTGCCATGCGAATGCGTGCAGCCATAGCATGCACGCAGCCAAGAATGCAGCTTGGAGAACAGCATCCAGCCGGTAAGTCTGTGGGGCAGAAGGGGCATAGGAGGGGGGCAAATAGAGGCCCCCACAGTGAGGGACAGTGGGGTAGGGGGAGGGGGCTGCCCAGCCAGGGCAGTGAATGCAACCCTGGGGCTGAGAGCAAGACAGAGCAGTGGGCGGCTCCCCGCTGCTGCGCACACCCCAATGGGAAGCATGGGGAGTGAGGATGGGCTGCCCGCTGCAGGCTCAGGACCAGTGACTGTGCCAGCCTCTTCCTGGTGTGGGGGCTGGACCAGGGCAGGCTGAGCTGCGTGGGGTGAGCAGCAGCAGAGGCAGCACTAGGGGGAGGTTTGGGGGGCTGTAGCCTCCCATAGCCACCCCTCCCAGCACTGCTGCCAGTGCCTGCCCTGAGGCCAGCCCAGGCCCAAAAAAATGGAAAGGAAATAATTTAAGATTAATAGAAAAAAGTATAAGTAACTCAACTGGTTCAATATGAGATGATTTGGTATCTGCAAATTAGATCTTCTAGAACAATGCAATATTTAATGAGCACAATGAGAAGTACTGCACATTAAAATTAAAAGAACTTTCAGGATTAAAAAGACTTCCTTTAGATGTGTTTTTCTATAGTATGGAGAGTTTCTTTTTCAAATATACATCCTAGAACTCTTCCATCCTTTTAATTGAGAACATTTGTTCCCAAAGCTTCGAATTTCATAGATGAATTCCTACTCATTCTTTTGACTTTCTTCTGCCATGAATTCCATAATAACCTGTATTTTTTTTGTATAAAAAAATAAATATTCTGCTCTAATCTTACTTTTTATATAAACCTTTGGGTCTTATTTTGATTCAGACATTTAATATTTAATATTTTTTTTAACTTTTAAAATTGCATTTGAATTTTTTATTATTGAAACAGCACCAACCAGTCTTAAAAAAAAAACCACACGATGGTATAACTTCACAGACTGCACAGCAGTGTTGTTACATCTGAGTAGTGGTTTATTTGCCAGGTTACTACTTTTTTTTTTTTTTTTTTTTCATTTAAATGCCCCAAAACACCAAGAACTTGCTACAAGTAAAGCAAGGTTTACAAGGGCGCTGTTAATGATTACAACTGGAATCCCTAACTTTCAATATTTTTCTCTTCTATGTTTAAAAAGGTGTAGATATTAAAACTTGAATGATCACTGGAAATTGTTTTGGTAGGAAGTGACTGACTACTGGAGCTTGCTTGAGTTTCCAAGCAGACTGTAGGCAAAGCAAAATGTTAGGGGTAGGAGGGAGGGTGGGCAGGGCAAGGGAGAAAAGTTACCAATATTCCAGGAAAAATAGTAATACAGTTCAAAAGCTACTCTACTTATGATGGGCCAAATACACAAAGAAGGAACAAAGAAATCAACTGTAAAAAAGGTTAGCTTTTCGTCAGCAATTCCTACAGCACTTTATTGGAAACAGCCTGGAAGCAAAGATTCTCCCAAGAGTGACAAGTCAGCAATAAAGGATTAGATTGACAGGACTGTGTATGGAGGTAGAAAAGAACTCTTGGGAATAAACACAAGATGGAGCAGAAAAGGTAAAAAGGAAGTGGAGAATAACTTCAGAAAAAAATAATAAGAAAGCAAATACCTCAGCTCTCCATCCAAAACAGAGCTAAATTATAGCACCTTCCTTTAGTTCCTCTAAACATACTATCTTTTAGGGCATCCATTGCTACAGCAGGATTTCTTACAAGCAGCTGGCAGGACAATTATTTGTTTTTCTTTTGTTTGTTATGACAACATAATACACTGAAAGAAAAAAAACAGCTTCTATTATTTAGAAAGAGTTTATATATAGGTGTGTATAAATATACAAATATGTATATACATTAGGGCTGTGCAAAGCTTCGGTCACTAATTGGATTCAGCAGAGATTCGACCTGATTCAGCTGCCGAATCTCTGAATCCGAATCAAATCAAGAGACCTTTTAATCTCTCTGAATTAATGGGAACCCTCCAAATCAATTCGGAGAGATTCGATGATTTGGACACAGACAGAGCTTTAGATGTTTTTTTTACGTACCTCAAGGTACCAGGCAGCTTGTGAATGGTGAGATGGTGGGGCAGATGGAGCATCCCACAGGAGCACAGGAGGTCCCCAGCTTGCTCAGCAGTGGACCCAGAAGTGGACCAGAAGCACTTCCGGTCCACTCCCAAGTCTGCTGCAGAGTGTGCAGGGGACCCTCCCCCTGCCTCCTGGGTCAGCAACAGGTGCCTCCTGGGTTTGGGAGGCAGGCATCCAGGGTCCCCCAACAACTAATCGCTGAGCCAGGGGAGTCCCCTGCATGCTTGACAGCAGACCCAGAAGTGGACCAGAAGTACTTCTAGATACCTCCCCCACCCCCCTGTGGGATGCTCCACCTGCCCTATCTCAGCATTGACAAGCTGCCCCTGGTACCTCAAGGCATGTAGAAAAAACATTTAAAGCCGTGTCTATGGCCAAATCACTGATCCTCTGAATCAGCATCGAATCTTCAGATTCGGATTTGGCTGAATTGAATAGGGACAGTAATCTGAGCCAACGAATCGAATCACTGTCCCCCGAATGGGGCCATATCCAAATCGAATACAGCCTTCTTCACACACCCCTAATATACATGTGTGTTTATGTTATATGTATACAGGGGTGTAGGTTGTAGCTGTGTTGGTCTAAGGACAAAGATGTATGTCCTTATATGTATACATGCTTTTTTATATACATACATGTGAACAGTTCATCTGGCAATGTAACTTCAAATATCAAATATCACTGTTATTTATAAAAGCTCTTCAAAGAAATGGAAGCAGGGTGTCTGTCCTATTCCCAAAATGGCTTAAAAAGCAAGCTTCAAACAGAAGCGTATTTGGTGGGGGATGGGAGGTATTGACTTTAATTTTGATTACAAGTAAGGGCTGGAAAAAAGAAATGAAAATTCTGATGGGTGTTAGCTGCCCAGTGTAAGACACACATGTAGAATATGATGCAGATCCTAATGAGAAGTCCATCCTAATAGAGAAAATAATCACAGAGTTCAAACTGGCAGCCTCTCAGCAGAATGGGAGAGATCAAAACAAGAGATATGGTTCCTACAAAAAAAAAAAACCCACTTAAAACCAAAAGAAGAATAATCAGGATCAGACGTGTTTGTGGTGGCAGACAGAGAGAGAAGTAGCTGGACAGAACTTGGAAATTAGTTAAGAACTTGAAAAATATAGCACGCAAGTAAAAATGGAAAAAAGGATTCCTGGCATAAGCTTACACAACATCTTTAAAAACAAAAATAGAGGCTGTTTTGTGCAACACCTTGACAGTTGTAGTTGTATAATACTGCATACCTGAGGAGTCTAACATATGCACCAGATCTTGTCCAAATTATTTTTAAATATGCACTAGAAACAGATGGGATTACTTATCAGTTAACATTGCAATGCGAAGCTAGACAAGAAAGGAAATGAAAAAGGAACCAGCCTTTGTAAATGTACACTACTAAAGGTGGCATTGAAGAATGCATTCAAAATAACCAACATACAGCACAGGAAATAACCCGTACTTGTGAGGTTATAAAGCTTTCAGCTACTTCACTTCCCAACTTCCTTCTGTCTAAATCAGATGAAACTTCCCATTCTGTCATGCTTTTTAAAAAGAGTTTTGAGAAATCATGTCCAGTCAATGGAAATAACCCATTTACTTTGACCAACTACTCCACCTCCAATCTTCTTTTTTGAAGGTTTTTTGGGCACATAGGCAACACATACCTGGAACTTTCAGCAGTCCTCAGTCTGCAAGCTTAGGCCTTGGTATGGTAGAGAAAATTAGTGGTCATTGCTAGGGTGACAATAATTTGGATCTGCATTGGATCTGCAGCTGGAACAAGGCTTTAATCTGTGTCTCAGCAAAAAGCTGCTGACCACAAGGCAAAATGGTGCATTAAAATAACCTTGCAGATGCTTAGGCAAGTAGTTTCTTTAACAACGGGAATAGTATGCAATATAAAGTAAATCACTGGGCAAAAGGAAACAGGATGTGAACCAACAGCTATTGTTAGGAGATAAGGTAGAGGCCAGATCTTGGAGAGGCTGCTGAAGTCAGCAGAAAACTACAAAGAAGCAGTGGTTGACCGAGAGTAGCCAGATTCATGGCCTTACACATGCGCTCTTAGTAAATGAAGGAAATGCACAGGCAATCCTATGCTAATGAAGCAAACAGTAAACAGGTGGAGCTTGAGATGGGAGGAGAAATGGGCAGAACAGGAGGAGGGACGAAGGTGAAGTGAATGTTAATGAACCAGATCTAAAGGGTATAAATGTGAAAACTAATGTTTGTGACTGCTCCCCTGTTCATAGACTGGGTGTCTGTGAGGGAGCTCACCCAAAGCTGAATAAAGCTGTTGCGAGTAATGTGTACAAGTAGTGTTTGCTCCCTGTCTGCTCTGGCTAATGAGTACCAGGACCCATGAGCAATTGGATTGTCATCTCCCTAGTCGTTGGGCGCCACGTGGAGTTGGGGTCTAACCGTCATATGGGAAGAATAGCAAGCATCCAAGGTGGTTGTCTTCCATCTCAAGAATATCCCAAGTGCCTCTGAATATTTAATCACCACATATACACATATACACCCTGCAAACATTACTGCCTCCATGTTTTAAGGCAGAATGGGAAGCAAGAAACAGAAAGACTATCTGTCTGAGTTCACACAGAAAACCCTGTGGGAGAGTTTTTCCCAGTCAAAGGCTAGCAGCCTAGTCCACTGACTTTAATACAGTCAAACTGCTCATGGACATTAGTAGTTTCATTGTGAATCAGGTTGGAATAGCTCTTCTCCTTTTCTTCCAAGGCACCGCAGAGAGCAGTACTGGGGTGCCTTAGTACTAGGGCCTTTCCAATGCAGAGGGCTACAGAAGTCTATTCTGACAAGTAGCCTTCACATGCACCAGGTTGTTGGGGCCTTTAAGAAGTTTAATGAAAGACTGTGGGTGGCAACATCTTCCAACTGAATTCTGCACCCTTCTCCTTCCTATCCAAGCAATGAGTTTGAGGAATGCCCAGTGCTTCAGGAAAACTGGATCTGAGAAGGCTAGACCAAGGATGGGTGTTTCTGGTGACCTCACACATCAAACGGAAGAAGACTGGCTTGTAATTTTAAACATTAGTTTGTTTTTTATTATTTGTATGAATGCCTAGAGCAAAGAGGAGGTGAATTAAAAAAAAAAAAACGCAAAGCGAATAAATCATATTACTTACGATAACAGGAGTGAATCTCATCTATTTCCTTTTCTGTCTGGTCCTTTGTAAAAGTCATGCTCTACAAAAATCATACAAATGTTTTATTTACCATGGGAAAATGAAGATAAAGCTGTTTTCCTTGAAGACAAGGGGCTAATAAGAGAAGAGAAACTATTACTCTTATTTACTGCCCACTCTGTAAAATATGATGTCAGAGGAGATAATTTGTTCATCTTCTCATCAGCTTAGATCATCCCACCTGTTACCATTAAATGCACCTGGGCTGGTTAAGTGCTTCTGACACGAAAAATGAGAGAACAAGCAAAACAAATAACTTCTACCCAATGTGCCCTTGCTTTGGTCTTACGATAGGTTCAAGGTCAGGACAATCTCTCTGTCTTGCTTCATAAAATCCCCTGAACATTTTTCTTGCAATTATATGCACTAGGGCTTAGTGTCTGATCTGTAATTCTTATGGAACAAAGATGGCCAACTTACATTTTCACTGGTTTTACTAAATTCAAGTTGAGCCCGAATCTTCTCATTGTTTTCAAGTTCTTTAATTATTTCTGCCACTGTAAAAAATACACAAGCATTGGAAATATTATATACTTATAAATTAGGATAAAGGCTAAAACAGCATTGAAAGGAATTATCATGAAGCAAAATGACATGAAACCAAATGCATTGACTTTGTGAGACTAAAATCCAGATGTGAGTCCCAAGTGGAAACAAAATGAAAGGTCCTGTCCCAGTGCCCAGCAGACATCTGAACACTGTGAAACCACCCACTATATATACTGATATTACTAAAGTGTTGCAGCCTGGGCACAGGATACAGAGACAGGACACAAAGTCCAAAGCCACTGATCTTGACAAAAGTGGCATGGGGAAAGTACTACAGTGCCTTCCTACACCTGGCTCCCAGCCAGTCCCAGGCTACCAATATCTTATTCCCCAAGCAGGAAACTCACGGAAAATATTTTTTTTTCCCAAATCAGATTTTGGCTGAATGTTGTAAAAACAGATTACAGTTTTCCTATGTTTTGTAGACAGATGTTTTTCTATCAAGTTTCCATTTTGTAGTACATATTTAAATGACAGAGGTTAAATAATTAAATATTTTGCTTACATTCTTTTTTTAGCTCCAAGAGCTACATCTCAAGGCAAAACAGAATTATCTGTATGCTGTGGTCCAGATGCCATGGTCCAAAGAAGTACATACTACCAAAAAAACAAGTCAAATGTATCTGGATAGTTAGGAATTAGACACAAATGAGCTCATTAATACTCTGAGACAAAGCTACAGTTACGCCAGATTTGGCATGGAGTAGTTCACCGCCTAGATTACTCCACATTTCTATGCTTCAACACTTCTGCAGAACCACTAGATAACTATGCACCTTTATAAAAACAAACACTTTCATGAGACATTGAAGAACTCCACGTCTGGCCAGAGAAAGAAAGCTTCTTAAATTATGAAGAAATAAAGCATGTAAAGTATCAGGGTTTAAGCAAAATCCAGGAATTTGGCACTCATGTGTTTTTAGTAATTCAGCTCTCCTTATTTTACAGTGCCCCCACTGCTAGATTTGAGACCAACTGCTGTTTCCATTATAAATCTCGGACTTCAATAATCTAGCCTTAAAAACAGCACACTGAGTCAAAACGTGGTAAATGCATGCAACGTTTATGGTCTGCTAGCCACAGTACTTCAAACCCCTGTGAAATTATTCATTTCACCACTATGGGCAGTATGCAGACAGGGACCTGATGGTACTTCATTACAACATTTGGGAAGCATCACCCCAGGATCAGAGCAATGCCTGGGACTCTAAAAAGAGGTAGCACAGCACCTAGATCTAGTGGGTCATTGAGGAGTATGATTCAGCAGCCTTATCAGAACTGCTTTGTTATGTTAACATTGCTATAATCTAATACACAGTTTTGAAATCCCAGTTTCATGAAGCCTCCTTTTCCACTACTTCACTTCTCGGTTACTGTTTTTCCTTCAGTAACCACTCAGTTTCATCCTTCCTCCACAAACATTCATTTCCTGTAATTTCTAAAGAGATTGGTTTTGTTTAATATTTTCTTTAAAATTGTTCTCTGAAGATTGGCTAATTTGGAACCAAATCATTACGGGTGTGCGAAACGGGCTGTATTCGATTTGGATTCCGCCTGAATCGGGGACAGTGCTTCAATTTGTTGATTTTGATGACCGTCCCAATTCGATTCAACCAAATCCAAATCTGACGATTCGATGCTGATTCAGACAATCAGCAATTCAGCCAGAGACATAGCTTTAAATGCTTTTTCTACAAACCTTGAGGTACCAGGCACAGCTCATGAATGCTGCAATGGTGGGACAGATGGAGCATCCCACAGGATGGGGGAGGGGCAGGGGGGGCCCACGCACTTGGCAGTGGACTGGAAGTACTTCCGGTCCACATGCCTGTCCATCTCAGCGATCAGCCACAGGGGGACCCTAGGTGCCCCCTCCAGACCCAGGAGGCACCAGTCGCCGAGCCAGGGGGCAAGGGAGGGTCCCCCACATGCTCCGCAGCAGACCTGGAAGTGGACCAGAAGTGCTTCTGGTCCACTTCTGGGTCTGCCACCAAGAACACAGGGGACCACCTGGTCTCCTGTGGGACACTCCATCTGCCCAAGCATCTGAGTGTTAACGAGCCGCCTGGTACCTTGAGGTACATAAAAACACATTTAAAGCAATGTCTATGTCCAAATCATCAAATCACTCTGAATCTCTCCAATTTGATTCAGAGAGATTAAAGGGGCTCCTGATTTGATTCAGATTCAGCTGCCAAACTGGGCCAAATCTCTGCCAAATCAAATCAGCGACCAAAGCTTTGCACAGATCTACAAATCATACTCCCTTGCTGTGGGCTACAACCACCAGTGTACCTTAGCAATGCTATTCCAATGGCTACTTGGACTCAGGCAGCCTTTTAACTTTAGACTTGACATGAAGTTCTATCAACTGAAAATTGCCATGTAATGTAATTACCATGTCCTATAAATATGATAAAACATTATTCTCAGGAAATACAGCCTAATTGGCTTCTGGCACACTTAAAAGTTACATCCTTTAATCTTGTAATCTTGAGTCAGGCATAATAGTTTTGTTTTTTATTTATTTTAGACCAGCATTCCTCAACCTTCTTAGACCTGGGGCACACTTTGATAGACTCAAGGCACCCTTTGAAAAATGCCAGGTCTTGGGTTTCACTTTTTTTTTTATTACAAAAAATAGAGCATTACTTCTGTTACAAACACCTCAGAAAGACCACAACAAGTCAGAATGTTTTTTAATATTACAGTTTCCTGTCGAAAATCTGTTTATGCAACTCACAGAATCATAGAAAATTAGGGCTGGAAGAGACCTCAGGTCATCTAGTCCAACCCACTGCTCAGGACCAGGATCATTCAGCCAGGGCTTTGTTAAGACAGGCCTTAAAAACCTCCAAGGATGGAGTTTCCACCACCTCTCTAGCTAATTTGTTCCAGTGTTTCACCACTCCTCCAGGGAAAAAGTTTTTCCTAATATCCAAGTTAAGCCTTCCTTGCTGCAACTTAAGACCATAGCTCCTTGTTCTGTCATCTGGTGAGAATCAGAAGATTGCCCAACAAACATCTTAAGTAGATTCAACTGTATAAATTATAATAATAAATAATAAAAATAAATCTGATTGAGGATTATTTTATTTTTATGATTAAAAGTGACTACCAAGGAATGGGCTTTGCAAAAAAGCATAAGAATTCAGGCCTTATAAACCACAATATAAAGAGATTAGCTATGACATTTAAGTCAACTTCCATCTTTGGAACTTGAAAGATATCAAATCCTTTCCTTATCAATGTGCCAATTGTTTCTTATTATTCAAAATATATGAGTAGCTTCTTGCCCATAGGAGCTAGTCGGAATAAAGAATGGCTCCACTGTTTAAAAAGAGAGCCAGCAGAAATCTTGGAGTCAACATGCCCTTGCCAAGATGAGTATTTGGCTGTCCTTCATTCTTCGTGTCCTACGGATGGCATTTTCTAAAGAGAATGCAACCCACACACAAACAGCAATTTGTTGTTTAAAGAAGTGTATAGTATAATTATATTAGATGTTAAAACAAGTTCCAAAGCAAAGAAAAGTATTTAGAGGCATCTATAGCTATAGTTTAATTATAGTAAAGCACTGCCACACACCTACATTGATGGAAAAAGTCTAGGCAGCAGTACATTTTCTTATTCATTAATTTTACATGCTACATTTCATCTCTTGCTTATAAATCTAGTAAATCCAAAAATATATCCAAAATGCTGAAAAATACAGTCCAAGTAATTATTCATGCTATTACCTGGCATTTTTAAAAACCTTCAGTATTTCCTAATGATGAGCCAGAAACTTGAATTTGGAGGTAGAATGATTCACAGACAAGATCAGTACTGTCACACAACATTTGTGTCGTATTTCATAAACAAGGAAGTGATGGAGGATTTCAGCTCAGTGGAAGAAGAGGGTTTTGGGGTTTTTTTGGTGGGGGCTGGGAAGAGGTGGGGAAGGGGTTGCTGTTTTTAAAGTAGTTAAGTGATAAATTATTTCGGGTCTGGATGTTCTCACAGCACAGACACATATTTCTGGGCTTCCCTGGTTTTAATCTGTTTTATAGTTTCACAGGTCATAGTTAATACGATTAAAGAAAATTTCACCCAAACCTGTGTTCTGCCAAAATCTTCCAAGCTGTCTCACTCCCACCTCACAAATTGTTCAAAACAGGAGCTCACTTGTTAGGAAGTGCTAACCGCTCTATCATAAGCTCAACTATCTTACCTGATTTAGGATTTAAAGAATCACATTGAGCATTGTACACATGCACAAATTCCTGATGCCGTTTAACAAGCTGTCGCCTGGTTCCTTGGATAGACAGCCCATGTTCCTTTAACTTCTTCTTCAAATCCCGATCAGAAAGTAAGTTGTAAACAACTTTAGACAAGGGTTTCCTTTTGTGACCAGAACTGCAGGGATGGAGTGGGGAAACAAACACAACAACAAAAATTAAAGGCCAGGAAATTCTTTCTTCTCTACAGGAAAATCAATAACTTGCATAGCTACAGAGCTTTCCACTCACTGTATATTGCAATATTGAGAAGAAACTTTTCACCCACCACTGAAATGCAGTCAACTCTGTTAAGACAAAATGTAGAAAAGCAAAATACGACTGTCCTAGTTTGAATTTGTTTGGCAAGCTAGAGTGAACCCTTTATCTCCTGTAATAAGCACCACAAAAGCTTGAATAGCCACAGTAAGCAAACGCTTCTTCTCAGTCAACAGCAGTGCTAGTATACAAGTAAATCAGGTATAGGTTCAGCACAAACTCACAAAGATATGGACGCTCTCCTTTATTACCAGAAATAGTTCTTGATGTGCCTTGGTTTCCCACTGAAATGCTGGTCAGACATTAATCTGCTTAAAGATTTTTACAAGGTTGCAACTCAAGATTTGTCTCAACAAACTTTCCAGTTCTTTGGAAGAAATGCTTTGAGAAAAAAAAACAGCCAGGAAACTATCCTGAAAATGCATTTGTAGATGCCACCTGATAAAAATGTGTCAATAATGCAGGATACTATATTAAGAAAATGAACGGCACTCTCAAAAGAGCTGAGTACTAAAAAGGACTCTACTTCCTGGCCTTGCTTAATGTCAAGTAAGAACATGAAGCCAGCACATGAAAAAAACTACTTAACAGGACACTGTAATAGCAAATGGAAGGCTCAGCATCACAACTTCTATTATCCTGAACAACCATGGCAGTATTATGCGCAATTATAGTATTCTAGGAAAGTCCAAGTGTAGGTGTAGATCTCCAACTGGTAAAATTTAACCAAATACAATCAGTACAGGTACAGAAACTCATGTAATGCTTAGTTAGTCTCCAAATTATATAATCTTTTACTAGTTATAAAAGATCAACACAGTTACTGATGTTTTGCATTTGTGAAGTAGACTATAATAATCTCCTTGTAGAAATTCAAGAGTAGATCTCTTCATTATTCAGGTTAAAACAGGTGCGGGCAAAATATATCCCACAGGCTGGATCCAGCCAGCCAACAGATTCAATCTGGCCCATGGGTTGATGGCCGCCAACTCACTGGATCTGGCCCAAGGTGGCCCAGCAGCTCCGTCCACCATGTGGTGCCGGGTGGGCAGGTGGGACTGCTTCCACACAGCAGCATTAGGCATCAGCTAATGCTCCATCAATGAGCCTGGGTGGAGCTTCCACCACCATGGGCAGGCAGCAGTATCAGCTGATCTGCCACCTACCCAGCACAGTGGAAGCTCCTGCCCGGAGCCCTGAGCTGGAACCTGCTGATGGCATCAGCTGTGGACCCAGGCAGGAGCTTCTGCCATGCTAGGCAAGCAGCAGCATCTCTCTCTCCCTCCCTCTCTTCTCTGTCTCTCCCTCTCCTTTACTCCCTGCAGAATGGGTAGAAGCTATTGTTCGCCAGGAGCCCTAATGCTCAGCTGTGGCCCCAGGCAGGAGCTTCTCCTACACCAGGTAGGGATCACTGTCAGCCATGACACTATCAGCAGGTTTCACGCTGGGGCTCCAGAACCTGCTGGCTGTATCCACAGCTGACACTGACGCCCACCCAGCATGACAGAAGCTCTGCCTGGGTCCACAGCTGACACCGGGGCTCCTTGCAAACTACAGCTTTGGCCAGGTTCGGGGGTGGGGGGACGGACGACACACGAGGAAGGGAAGGAGGAGGAGAGAGACAGCAGGTCAGCTGTGGACGCCACTGGCAGCTTTTGCATCTGGAGGGGGGAGAGAAGGGTAAGAGACAGAGATGGATGTGGCCCTCAACAAGTGCTCAAAACTCACTAAGTGCCCTTCAGCCAAAATAATTGCCCATCCCTGGACTAACAGCTTTCTAATTCTAGAAAAAAAGGTAGCATACTTTTTATTTGACATGTATATTCCCTAGTCACTTTTAGCTCACCACACTGAAAATAATCTTACTTTACCACAAGAGAGACTTTAATGAAAATCCTAATGAATTATTTTTCCTATAACCATTCTACCACAGCTAGCATAAATATGCATTTTCTCACAATTAGTTTCAGGCAAAAAGTTATTAAAAATGTTACTGAGGAATGTCATTTTTCCACTGAATGTTGAAAGTTTTTTAAAACTCTTACAGAACTTTCCGTTCTTATAGGTAGCATGATCCAGCAGACAAGGCACATCTACACGTGTGATTTAACACACAGTAGACTATTTTACTGCTCAACAAAGTGTCATATAAAAAATTGCGACATGCTAATGCACAGTAAAATAAGTCTACTACGCATTAAGTATCACTAAAAAAGCATATAAATGTGCTACTGCACATTAGCACAGCCAAATGTGCATTAATTTAGTACCTCACATTGGAGGGCACCTATACATGAGCATGAAGGCTGCTCCAACATGCTGTAATTACAGCATGTCAGAGCAGACTCAATTAATCGAGTCTGCTGCACCATGGCAATTACTGCACTCCAGCAGCCTCCTACATTCTCATGTATCAGCATCACCGCGCTTAAAAATGGCAGCAGGGGCAGCTGAACTAAAGCTCATTGAACAAAGCTTAGTGCAAGTGCCCCCACCGCCATTTTTGTGTGTGGGATGCTGATATACGAGCCACTCTCTGAGCCACTCTAAAGTGCTGCCCTCCCTACTCCCCCACCTCCAGAACATGCATACAAGTAACCAACAGTACTAAATTTAATGCGCATTAGAAAAGGCATTAATGTACATGTAGACGCACCCACTGAAAATAAGTTTGTAAGCGACAGAACCTAGCTACCCCAATTTTAGAATTCAGCAGATGTTGTTTCAGCTCTAAGAAACTTTGCAGCCTCAGTAAATCTGTGCTTCCCTATGTTATAATTAATCTCTAATGTAAAATTTGGAACTAAATTAGCAGCTCCACTAAAATACTAGTCAATTCTCAACAACAAATTCTGTATTTTTACATTTAAGACCAAACAGAGACTGAGCACGTCCTAGAGAGAGGAACTGAAGACATGCTATTACTACTGAAATCTACAATGTTATTGCAATAATATAAACATATTTTCACATTCATGCTTAAATTCTACAGTAGTTAATTGCTCATGCCAACCATTTTCTTTGATACTGCTTTAAATTCTGAGGAAATTAGGTAAAAATGAATTAAAATTATACAAAACAATGGTAGATCCTTTATCTTCCATAGAGAAAGTGTGTTTCCATTGCATACTTTTCACAGGCACTTACTGCTAAAAGTAATAAAAGAACAAACCAGAGATCAAAAACTGTCAAAATATGTTAGTTAGCATCTGTTTCATACTGTGCAGTACAGTTCTGTGGAAATGAGACTGACTGAGATAGCTTTTAATGCTTTCCCTCTCTTCCTTTGATGAACAAAAAAATGCATTTATCTTTGTTAGCTAGCTCCAAGTCCTTAATATGATTTTAAATACATAAGTCTTGTGGCTCTCAAGAAAGCAGCTCATCATACCTTCTACTCTGTCAATTTTTGTTGCTCTGATGCAAATATCTCAATGAAGGAAAAAGAGGGCAAAAAAATTCATGCTTTTCAGGTTACCAGTCCTGATCTGATCAACAGTCTGATTTTAAAGACATTTTAAAGCAATGATGCCTTTTCAGGAAATGAAAAAACAAAGACAACTTTACGCTCAGAGTGCTAATGCTGGAAAACAGAACTATAGCAAAATTAACGTAGAAGGCTATATTAACATAAAACAATACAAAATTTCAACAGACATTTTACTACCATTGTAGGCCTAAATATAGTGCTGATGGTGAACTTACCTTGTCAGGGGACGAAAATCACCACCATCATTATTTATACTACAGTTTTAATGTATAGCACGTAGCATGTGTGGAAGAATGCATTTTGCTCTCTTATAATCTACAACCTACTTCTTTCTACTACAGTAGCGGAGGAAACTCACCAGATCCATATTTCTTACCTTCTTAGGCTGTCCTTCTTCTCATCCCTTGTCAAACAACTATCTAGATGTTTGTTTATAAACTGCTCTGGAATAGCAACCCCGCAAACAGGACAATCCACTGAAACAAAAAGAGAAGATGCGCTGACGGTGGAGTTCTTTTTAAAAACTAATTTCATACGAAAACTTCAATTGATACCTGTGGAGAGTAAAACCCCAGAATTCAAGGGGCGGAGGAGGGATTCTAACATGTTTCCGAAACACGCCAAATAATTATTTTTAGCATCTGTTTCTATTTCTACAACATGTATTTACAATTTTGGAAAGCATCCTCTCCATCAGAACAGAGAGAAAACATGCACTTTTACCTGTGTATCACATCTCTGCTCCTATAAATATAGGAGCAGAGATGTGATATAGATATAGACAGAGATGTGATATAGATATATGATATAGATACTGCAAATATAGAAGACATCAAGTGGGTTTTAGGTCACTTTTCTCTTTCTTCTTTCATCTACCATAAAATTCAACTCAAATGAACTTTTCATGTATTTGTGCTCCCCATAACACATTTTGAAAACAAACTTACACTGCGGTGTGCTATGAGTGCAAAACTCATATTTGCTCAATATGGCTACTAGGGCTGTGCAAAGCTTTGGTAGCCGATTTGGAGGAGATTCAGCCCAATTCAGCAGCCGAATTTCCAAATCCAAATAGAATCGGGAGACCAGTTAAAAGCTCCAAATCAAATTAGAAGCCTCCCAATTGATTCAGAAAAGATTCAGCCCGATTCAGAGATTTGGCCATAGACTAAACAGGCAGCAGTCCTCAAGGACGCTGGACACAGCTGCCTCCAGCTAGTAAGTCTCTTGTGATGGGCAGAGGGAGGGGGGGGGGGAAGATCAACACCCCCCACAGCAAGGGAGGAATTGGGGCTGGGGCTGGGGCTGGGACAAGCTGTCCAGCCAGGATGTGGTAGTGTGGGCAGAGCCGTCCCTAGAGGCTTGCAGGGCCTCGGTGGAGGGCCGGGGGGTGAGTGGCAGCTATGTCTGCATACTTCTATAGTAATACAAATGTAAAAAAAAAAAAAAAAAAAAAAAAAAATCACTGCAACTTTAACTCCATTTCAATGAGGGTTAAATTTACATCAAATTATAGCTACCTGATACTGCTATAGGATGACACAAATGTAATAGTTAGATCATAACTACTGATGGGCACCCCTGAGCAGCAGTTCCCCCTTCCCTTTTAAAGCAGTTCAAAGGTACTTTTGTCCATAGCCTCTGTGTAATTTCTACTTATTTGCAAAAACCATGCAAAAGTCAATAATGGTTATCCGATACAACTATTTTTGAACTACCAGCTCCTCACACTGTGTTCCGAATCAAAGATACATTAGCCAAGAATAGTACAATACACAGAATAACTCTACTTATTGTATTATTCTATTTGAGGTTTATGGTTCAATTCCCAATTTAGAGTCAGACGTAGTAATATTTTTTTTGTAACTGCTTCAGCCCCTGTAGATCCTAGCGAGAGAACGTCTTTTATATTGCTTGGCTAGCTACATCATGTTTGTTGGAATAACTTCTGTGTAATGGATGCTAAAGAGATCATCAGACCATTTAACTGTTTCCCATAAAAATAGTAGGCTTAAAATGTCCAGCTCCACAGGACTAAAATGAGGAGCAATAAAAAGAAAACTTTAATGTCAGTTTTTAATCAAAGAAAGTGTTTTCACGATGCGCAACACAAGGAAGCAGACCTTTTGGGTAAGCAGATGCCTCTTTCAAATACTAATTTTTCTAGTCAGATGTATACTTTCAAGCAATGTCCAGCCAGCACAGGAACAGTTACAAATTTTTGAGCGTTTAACTAATAATACACTGCCAAAAACAGATTTAAAAGAAGAAAAAAAAGCTGAAGAAAGATAATCTGTTTTTTTATAATCATCAAAATTAAGATGATTCTGCCATATTGTTGTAGCTGGTTTCATTATCTCAAATAATGAAAATGATTATTGTATTTATCTCAGCACTACAGAAAACAGCCAGCTATGGAAGAGTGACTTTTGGGGATAACTTAGCAATACAATTATTGACTCAACTGTTATATTACAGGACTAAGCTTAAATAATAAATATTAAATTCCCCTGAACTGTAGTTATGATAGAAGAGGGCTAGTAAAGATGCAAGCACCAAAAAAATCAGGATTTCTGTTTTGTTTTAACTTGTAACTGAGTAAATGTGTTGCCATACAGTGCTGTTTTTACAAAGTCTTGCATTTTAGTAATAACTTCTACAAAATTAAACAGTATTTTTATCACTTGGTGTTCAGCCAAGATTTCTCATCATGCCTAGGGTGGCTGGCACATTATCCTTGAAGACTTAGCAGCAATCTAATGCCACTTACTACCCTCACAGGTGTACCAATGCCACTGCTATCTGAATGAAGCACACAGCAGTTAGAGCAGAAGGTAAAGACTTATACCTTTCACCCCAAAATATTACAAAAAGATTAATTAAACTTCAACACCCACTAGGGGAAGGCAAGCCTCCTTCAGATGTGATTCACGATTTGGGTGCATAAGGCAAACTCACCGTAGACCACTCACCTTTTGTAACTACTTTCATTGAAGATGTAGAAGGTTTCTCAGGATTCCTACTGCATTCAGGAGTCTTTGTTGCCTCTGTTGCACTGATTCTGTGATTCTCTCCAGTGCTAATAAAACTACTATCCTTTTCCTGCTTAATTTTGGAATCTTTATATTCTGCTTCATCAACAACAGATTTCGCAGTCTGAGTGCTTTCTTTCCTCCAAAAACTGTCGATAAGTTGCTTATCTTGCTTTAAAGATGAAGAAACCATGAACCCTACAGCATGACTTGTGCCAATAGAAAGTTTGCCATGGGTCGTTGGAGGAGAAACTGGTGGAGAATCCAAAACCAACTGGAACAGCTGTTGCCTAGAAGGATGCAAAAGGCAACATGGCATTCAGATAACTATAGAATTGCAGCATCATAGAAAATATAAGGCTGGACAGGAGGTCATCTAGTCTAACTGCTGCTCCAGAGCAAGACCATCCCTATCTAACTCATCCCAGGCAAATGTTTGTCCAATCTGCACTCAGAAACTTCTAGTAACAAAGTTCCCACAACCCCGCTTGCTAATCAATTCTAGCGTTACATCACCTTCACAGCTACAAAATTTTTTCTAATATCTAACCTATGTCTCCTTTTTTAGCCCCTTACTCTTTTCTACCACCTGCAGACAGAGAAAACAATTTGTCACCATCCCCCTAAAAGCCCTTTTTTGCACTTATAATCTATTGTAACATTATTATCTTTTCCCTATGCACTCTTCTCTTCCCTTCTTTAAGAAGGATATAGTACATGACAATAGAAAGGCAAGGTGTCTACAGCTCTAAATACAATCCTGCCTGCTAATCATAGAAAATCAGGGTTGGAAGGGACCTCAGGAGGTCATCTAGTCCAAGCCCCTGCTCAAAGCAAGAACGTCCCCAAGAATTAGATCATCCCAGCCAAGACGTTATCTAGCTGAGTCTTAAAAAACTCCAAGGATGGAAATTCCACCACTTACTACCCTCCTTGTGGGAAAGATTTTCCTAATATCTAACCTAAACTTCCCTTGCTGCAACCTGAAATCATTGCTCCTTATTATCATCCACCACCACTAAGAACAGTGCAGCTCCATCCTCTTTTGAACCCCACTTCAGGTAGCTGAAGGCTGCTATTAAATCCCCTCTCAGTCTTCTCTTCTCCAGACTAAATAAGCCCAGTTCCCCCAATCTCTCCTCAGAAGTTATGTGCTCCAGCCCCCGAACCATTTTCACTGCCCAACACTGGACTCTCTCCAATATGTCCACATCCTTTCTGTAGTGGGGGGCCCAAAACTGGACACAGTACTCCAGATGTGCCTGCACCAGTGTTAAGTACAGGAAATAAGCACTTCCCTTGATCTGCTGAACACACTCCTGCCAACACAGCCCAGTATGCCATCAGCCTTCTTTGCAACAAGGGCACGCTCTTGGCTCATATTCATTTTACTGTCCACTGTAACCCCCCGGTCCTTCTCTGCAGAGCTTATGAATCTTGATGAATCATGCACAGCTCATGAATCATCCTGTTCACAGAATACAGGCAACAACAATTCATTTATAAATTCTAAATACCTATATAATTTGGTGTTTGATTTTGGGTTTCAGAGCTCCCCCTGCCCCCTTCACTCACCAGGACCAGGGTCCAACTACAGCTTTGCCTCCCGCTGCTTTGTGGCAGAGCAGCTGACATGCCAGTGCTTTGCCCCTGCCCCTGTTCGTGCCCATTACTGCCAAGCCACAGCACCCCTCCCCTGCCAGCCCTGGCCCTGCTGGTGCCCCTCACTCCCAACCCACAGCCCCCGCCACCCAAGGTGCCCCTGACTTGGGACCTGCAGCCTCCCTCCACCCCCATCCCTGCCATTGCCCCTCACTCCCAACCCACAGTCCCCTACCCTCCCCAGCCCTGCTGGTGCTCCACTCCCAACCCACAGCCCCCTGCCACACCAGCTATCAGGGCTACGAGACCAGGGCCAGGGCCGGCAGCTCCCTGCCCCACCCCAGCAGCACCTGAACCCCGGCTGCCGTGCACGGGACCTGGCAGCTGCTGTAGCCTGACCGGAGCATGGAGCCCAGCCCCTCCACATCACAGCTGGACCAGACCAGAGCAGAGTCCGGGGCAACAGATGCAGGACTCAGAGCTCCCTGCCTTGCCCTCTTCCCAAGGGCCTCTCTGGCCCAGTGGCGGGACCCAGCACAGGAGGGCAGCGTGGCTTCAGTGCTGCTGCTGCAGGGACCCACACACCAGACACACCACTGTGGCAATGCTCCCCCGTCCAACTGCCAGCAGCAGGTTTAGCAGCACAAAGTTGTACCTCCCGCTTCACCATGGCAATGCAGTGATGTAGGGCTCCCTGTAGCAGCAGCAGCACCAAGCCTCTCCACTCTGCCATGCTGGGTCCAACTTGCTGAGCCATGCAGGCTCCTGGGGCGAGGGCAGCAGGATGGGGAGCCTCAAGCCCCCACCGGGCAGTCCACATCCTATCCCGTGGAGGGACATGAATGCCCCCCAGGAGTGCATACAGTGGCAAGGAGCTGGCTCCCCCACCCACCCTCCCCAGCTGGCCCTGCAGACACGCATTCCCACCCCAGCCCCAGTACCACCCTGGCTAAGCAGTGTCCCCAGTCCCAGCCACCAGCCCTGCCCTGCTCCCCACTTTGGAGCAGGTTATCCCAAAAGGTGGCGGACTCTCCATCCTAGGAGGCTTTTAAGACCCAGCCAGACAAAGCCTTAGCTGGGATGATCTAGTTGGGGATGGTCCTGCTCTGAGCAGAGGGTTGGACTAAATGAGTTCCTGACGTCCCTTCCAACCCTCATTTTCTGTGATTCTATAACCATAGTTTGGAAGCTGATACAAAACATGGAGCTCCCAAAACCTCACAAAGGAGCAGAAACCTAATGGGAACCCCAGAATCATCCTCATTTCCGAATAAATTAGGAGGAACAGGTTGCTAGCCTCTCTGAAAGGTCCCTCAAAAGTAGGTTACCCTCCATCTCTTTCATGCTGTATGAACTTGGCAATCCTTTCAAGCACACAGAGTTGGCTAAACTAGAAAAAAAAAATCAAAGACAGTAAGAGATTTGTGGAGAGGGATAAAAAGGCAACAAAGGGGACATGAAAAGCATAGAGGACAAGGTAAAGTACACAAGATGGAAGAGAAAGAGGTCAGAAACAAGTTCAGGAAGAAAGAAGAAAGGGACACTAAAGACATCACAGACACACCATAAAAATAGAGAGAAAATGGTGTGCAATCTAGAAGAACAAGTTATTTTTCACATAAAAGAAAGCAGGAAGTAAAGGATCTTTTAAAACAAAAAGTATCAGAACATGTCAGTGGGTTACATTATAGCACACAGTAGCAGAGAGCTGTTTTACTCCTTTTCACTGTGGACAGTTTTCTCCCTGACTTGCAGTGCTGGATAATGATTTTCAAACCATAGTTTTATGCCTAAAAGTATCCCCACCAGTTGTGTCAATGACTCAGGAAACAGAGAGGGCCCTGCCCTCCCCAGAAACAATGGTACTACAGGAGTCCTTTCTCCACATTTATCCCTGCCCTTCTTGAGTATCACTTAAACTCAGAAGCAGTGACAACAGCCCACTCAACTGAAAAAGCCCATTAAAGTATGAACCACAAGGGCCTGAAATATGCCTTGTGTTCATCACCTCCACACCCCATTAAACCCATTTGGGAAGCAGGTAACTTGACCTGCAGAATGAGTTTACTCACAAAGTAGGATTGAGAAGTGTTCCCACCTGGAAGCATCTGTTAAGTCCACCCACCAGTATACCACATTGCTTTTGCTGGTTACCTGGGTCAGTCAATCTATTCACCCATGTGCTGTTTACTGCCACACAGATATCCTGATCAGATGTAAGCTTCGTAATTGAAGGCTGGCGCACAGCCATCCGTAGCTGACAGCACTTTCAGCTCCGGAGGAGCTCACCAACCTGTATGATAGTCTATCAGTTATTAGGCATGCAAGCCTACTGCTTCTCCGTGGCCCCATGATGAGGTCTGGGACTTCATTACCCTTTCAAGAAGAGGAGCATACACAGATGCCTCTGAATTCTAGTTATGAAAACACACACAGGCAGAAGCTGATATTTGAATTAACTAAGGAGATGGGGCACAACCAGAACCCAAAGTAGTTCTGCACGAAGCGAAAGAAGCTCCAGCTGGTTATAAGTTTTAAGGACAATAACAGAGGCTCTACAAGAAGCCAGGCTATATTTTTGCCAAGATCCAATCATTCAGCTGCTACATTTCATGCACTTTGCCAACACCCCCACTAATGTCAAAGAAAACACAGACCAGAAGACTGATCCTGACATCCAAGGTCTCAGTAGTCAACCCTGAGGCAGAGCTCCAGACTCCCTCCCCCCCAGCAGATAACAAAACTGTGGAGGAAACCCCTTCCAGTAATTACCTATAATACAGGTCTACTAAGGGACTTAAAACGGGGCAACCATGTTAGACTGCCACCTCTGCCTCCCCTCCACTTTTAAAGCCCTAATACCAGCTGCTCCAATAAATGTCAAGTGCATCAAGACCCTGCAAACTCTCCCCTCTAAGCATATTTGGCTACACTAACAGCGATGGACTGAAGTAGGGACCTTTTAGGCAAAAAAAAGGAGGTCACTGCTTCGGGGAAGCTGTGCACAAACAGCTGTCCCACTAGTAGATTACTCTGTGACCCTATAAGTTTCCAGTGACTTCCAAAAGGTATCCCACAATGCAAAAACTCCCAGAACATGTCGCACAAAGGTGGAGCGAGGCACAGCAAGATTTCTGATCAGAACGCTGAATGTTAGCTTCAAATCACAGTGCAGCACAAATGCAATGCTCTGGCACATAAGTAGCTTAGTAGCAAGGTGGATGGACACACTGCTCATTTTCTAGAAGATCCCTGAAGCATGTTCATTATTCCTACTATCCAGGGCTTCCCCAAGCAGTAACGTCAGGTACCACAGCATCTGATTCCCCATACCCAGCAGCCCAGCCCAAGCTATCAGGCGTGCAGTTTAAAGACCTCAGTAGGGGAAGCCCTTCAGCTCCAAGCCCCCCCGTTTCTGGACAGGGTTGACAACCAACTGATTGCTGGGCAAGGGACCATTCCAGACCCTGGTGTGGTCTGGGCGCTGGGACTGACAATAAGCTGATTGTTAGCCCTGGTCACACATTGAACTTAAGGCATCATGGAAACCTGCCATTAACATGTTTTACATTCTACGGGGAACATTTTTATGGCTCGTTTCCTATTTTATGGTACTTTAAATTGGGTGCACATGTAGCATTTATCCACATATACTCTTCCCATTTCTGCTGCGGTTAACATGTTAATC